GACAGATCTTCACAAAGTCTCTTTCTTTTTGCAGACGCGGACGAGAAGAAAAAGACGACGTATACGTCCGTGCCTACAAAAAAGAAAGAAAACTTGTAAAGACCGATAGACCGGTTACAATTCTGGTCATATCGTTACAATTGCGAAACTATATAAACGAGTAATTCGCATACATCTTTATATGCACTGTACATTATCGTAACCAATAAACACTTCATAAACGATACTTGCCATTATTATAACTCTAAATTCGCACTCAGAAAGCTCAAGTACATTAAATTTATTTATCGAATCGAAATTTACCTGAACCATGGATAATCTTAATCTAAATGCTTTCTATGAAATTTATGATAACGAAAGTGATAAAAACAATGATTTATTTACTACAAAAATTCTTTCTTACTTTGATGTTCGTTTTACTCAGCACAACAAATTAATTGTGGCCGAAAAGATTAATCTATATGTCTGCAAAAGTAGAACAAGACTGTATGATGTTTGGAGAAGATATAATAAACAACAAAAAGAATAACACTTTGCTGATATTGTTGTTCTTACACAAGCAGATTTTCAATTACTTGCAGTTTCTGAGTCTTCAACAAATCTCAAAGCACGAAGTCGATCTTCAACATCTGTAACAACTAGTCCATCGTCGACGTCTTCGTATTCTCCTCCTTTACCAACATTCACTGCTCCACTTTCACCTTTGGCAAAACGACAACGGGATTTTAGTGAAGTTTCATCTCGTCAAAAACGACGACGTTTATGTGATTTAAATTCTGAATTAGATGAATTTGTGTTAGCAAACAATTTAACAATTAATCAAGTTATAGGATATCTTCTATACCAACGAAATTACAACAGTAACAAATATTTAGCTAATTTAGGCCATCAACTTTATGAAGATAAATGTATTCAAAATCCAAGTTTACAAAATCTTGATTTAGATGAAGCATTAGCATTGAAATATCATTTAAATATAAGTCGTACAGATATGGATTTCGTAAAATGGTTTTCAAATGATTATATTAATGTTCCAAATCGACAATATATTAAAAATCATACTGATGATTTAATACCATATCTCACAAGTTGTCGTAATGGTAAAGGTATTTATGCGAAAGATCGTCGACAATCAATACAATTGACGATTCAACGCTTGATTGATGTTCTTCATTCAAAACATATTAATTTACCAAACCATCTATCATATCGTGAAAAGACAGGTCACGATGGCGCTGGTTCAATGTCGATATATCGATCAACTGAAAATCCAATGAGTGATCCGAATATTTTCTGTAAAATGTTCGTACCATTAGCATTGAAAGATGAAAAATCAAATGAAATTTTATGGCAAAATGAATCATCAAATAGTGCCTTTTATACTCGACCATTGTTATTAGTTGCTGAAAAAGAAAATCATGAATTGTTTCTATTCATAAACGAAACATATGAACATCAAGAGAAAAGTTTAGAACAAAATGGTTTAATATTTCAATACAAAAACGAAACATACAACGTCAAAATTAAAATAGAAGCCAGCATGAAGGACATGAAAGTTCGAATGGCTGAATCAGGTTTAGGAGGTGCATAATGTTTGATGTGTAGTACAAAACAAGAAGATTGGAAGGATCCAAAGAAAATTTCAGATCCTAATTTTTTCCATATCAATCGAACGGCAGAAAAAACTCTTGCTTTGTACAACCAGTTAGTTGATAACGATGGTAATATTTTAAAGTGTAAAAATGATTACGATACTCGCACTGGTGTAACATCAAAACCTTTATCAATCAATGATCAGCATTTTATTACCATTACTCATCAATATATTAATGGTACAAGTTGGATTTTAAAGATCATGTCTCATATGCATGCCAATATATTATCATGGATCATTTATGGTAAAGACAAACAAAACCGAATTTCAAAAGAAAAAAAAGCAATGTTAACAATAATTCAAGATAAAACTGGTTTACGACTTGATCAATGTGATTCTACTTCATCTACAACTGGTGGTACAAGCACGACTGGTGGACAAGGTAGAAAATTCTTTTCTTATGAAGTTCGAGATATTTTAGTATCTTGTGTTCCCTTACGACACCGTACGACATTACAGAAACTGATCCAACTTTATTCTATTATTCTAAGAGTTGTTTTTTCGACTTAGTCTATTAACATTCTTAAATTCAATGAATTAATTATGAATTTTAAAAAATTATTATCAAATGAAAAATGGATTGATTACACTATGACTGTACATTCGTTAATATTTCATTCATGCGAATTAATACAAAGAAATCATGGTGTAGCTTTGGGAGAACTATCAGAAGAAGCTCTTGAGAGCTGTAACAAAGATATTCGTAACTTTCGTGAATTTTTATCTAGGAAATGTGGACATATTATGAATTTAACAGATGTCTTCAACCGACTCTTCATTCGTTCTGGTCCAGTCATAAGAAAAATAATTAGTGATACATTTACTAAAAGACAAATTCATTCACAAACATCAACAGCTACATCTACAACATTAAATGAAGATGATCAAATACTATTGACTCTATTTCTCCAAAACTGAATGGACACATTTGATATCACGAATATCAACTTCTATATAGTTTTGAAAGTAGCTTTTCCTTTTCCGGTTTTAGTATAACGAAATTTTTTTAAACAGATGAACTTATCTTATAAACAATAACAGGATTTGGAAAATAAATTTAAAAAACTTGAAACCCGGAAAAACCTTAAAAATAAAAAAAACGCAAAAAAAAGTAAAAAAAATGTGAAAAAGAACGAAAAAAAAGCTGTAAATAAAACAAAAAGTAAAAAGAGCTGAACAGTGAATCTATAAATACACTTCTAATGTATATCGATCGTGATCGTAATGAATTACTCATGATAATTCTTTGATTATAAGGAATAACTCCAGTTGATGCAACTTATTGATCATGAAAAACTTCATTAAAACCTTGTATTTTTCCAAAAAAGCGACGAAAATGGAAATCTAATAAGTTTTTGAGAATGCCATTCAAAAGATCTCATCGAAAAGCCTATATACCTTTTCTATAGTTAATGAGAAAGTCAAATTTTCTTATATGTCCGCCTGCTATGCGAAAGTTGCCCACTGTGATTCATTCTGGAAAAATATGTCTCATACAAAATTTGTAGTTCAGACTTTGCTCTTTCTAACAAAAAAAATTTGATTGATTCCGAGGTTGGTAATATGGTCTAACAGGGCTTGACATTTGTGCAAAGACTTTTGCATCGCTCATTATTAAAAACGCGTATCAATTTTTTTAACATATATTGTTTTTATTGTGCCTATGAAACGAGATTGACAATGATAAAAACGTACGTCAATTAAAATAGAGCAGCATACATATTCTATAACTGCTATTAACATGTTTTCAAATAACATCATTTATTTACACAATATTAATAGGTCTCTTTCTGTTAGTCGGTGGAATAGCCTTAAAAGTCTGTTGATCGGGAAAAACATTCTCACTAATCTGAATCACGACAGAATTATAATTCCAAGCCTTAAGATTTATTCGAAAAAAATTGGAGAAATATTTCGAAAATTTTTAACCGCTGCCGCACCGCTGCTGCTGTCATACTTTTAAAAATCCACCGCGTCGCTGCCGCAATGATTTCGCAAAAAATCCGCCGCTACCGCTGCCGCTGCCGCCGTGGCGGTCGCGTCGCGGCAGCGTTGCCATGGACATCTCTGATAGAGAGATTCCTCGCATGAAATAGCAATAGAATCTGATTGTAGGAGAAAAAATGAACATTTTTCATTAGTCACGTTTGTTTATCATGTTACTAATATATAAGTTGCCGATACTTATCGGTTGCTATGGAAAATAGTCAATCTCTTAAGGATTTGCTATAAGCAGTATTTCTAATGAAAATCTCATGTAGAGTATTCATTGTACATTTTGATATGCGACGAAATTTTTTGTGTACTCTGAAATTTTGGACAAAGTATACGCAGCGTGTACAATCTAGAAAACAAAAGAATATCGAATGAAACTATTGCATATACAAATTCCTATAAATATAAAGATTTAACGAAAACAGATCTTTACAGTGAAGCCATGAAAATGCGTTCAAATCCAGTATTTTAATGAGGGTTCACAAGTGATTGTGTCTCAGCCTCAATTTAACAAGAAATCACTGATGAAAATCTGTTAAAATACAGAATTTGAACGCTTTTTTTCACGACAACACAGGTAACATCATTTTTTGTTTATATCGTTAAATTTCTAGAACCTTTTTCATGGGTATAGTATCTTCCGTAAAATTCTTTTCTTTTCAAGCTTGTACCAACATAGCTAGATGAAATGGATTATGTATCGTGATTGTTTATGAAAAAACAACTGAAAACGATACTAACGTAACAAGAGTCATAAATATCCTTTCGAATATAACCCGGTTTAGTGTTCAGAATAAATTCAAATAGTTTCTTGAAAAAAGAACGAAAAAAAGATATGTATAATTGTTGATCACATATTCATCTTCAAATCATTCATTATCAATGTCTTGTATCCGTTTAGTTGATTGTTGTTGTTCAGAACTATCATCTCCCTTGTGTATTTCGACGTGATCATCAATGAACATTTTTAGGTTTAGAAAAAGAGCAGCATATACAGAACATAGTGCATTGTTAAATTCCATAGTGTACAGCACACACTTCGCTTTCTCACTCAAAGTGCAAACAGAGTGCACTTGCGAAAAACATACTCAGCGCACTGTCATTAGAAGTACTGATTGAAAAGATCGAGATAAGATACTATACATTCACACGCTACATTCAAAAGTATGTGTAAGCGATCCTCAATCGTTTGAATCAATAGAGTTACGTTCCAATTTTTAGTTTTTTCTGTCGATGAAATATTTCACTTGTGTATGAGAAAGTGATGTGCATGATCGAACTATACAAACATAAGGATTACAATTTATTTCTTCAACGAAATTACGTTACGAAACCATATACTCAGCTCACATAATATGCTAGTTGAATTAATTAATAATCATGATCTTTAAATTTAACAGATAAACTTGATAATAAATTTAGTTGATCATTCATTCTAAATGGAAAAATGCTCGAAAATACATTTGAAGGATATTTAACTTTATTTGTTAGAGTGTTAGAGAATCTTCGCTGTGATCTTAACAAAAGGAAAGCTAACATTTTTGTAATAAAAACTAAAGATTTCATTTTACAGTCACCTTCAGATATTGAACTTTTTGTCCGTAATTATTTACATTTCCAATTTAAATAATATTTTTCCGTTCAAATAAGAAATCTTTAAATGGATGAATAATTTCGAAAACTTTAACAGAAACGATAAGACACTCGAATCAATTATCTATTACTCATAGAGCAAATGTTCCTGACCGATGATTTAATTTCAAAATAATGAAATGCAACAAAACATGTGTAGTTTCTTAGATATACGATTTTTCAAATTCTCATTTAAAGACAGGGTAATGCTAAAAATCATTGTACTATATTTGATGAGTCCAAATTTTCGAGCACGAAAAGTCTTGAAATATTCCATATGCAAAAGAAAACTTTCGGACTATATGAGAAACTTTCATTACGTGGTATAATGTTAGCGATCATGAAATATTAAAATTATGATTTCAAAACCTGCGTTCGATACTGAACAGATATTGTCAATAAGGATATGGTCATCACTCTTTTTTGATAGCTTACTTTTGTTTAATATACGATTTCCAATGTTAAATAAAGAGCTGAACTGACTCTGTACAAAGAAAAAACAACTGACTGACAGACACATTTATCAATGAGACGATAAAAAGTTTCTACTTTGATAATACTTATTATTCCTTGTTACATATTTTGAAAACAACATGGCATAACATGTACTAGCATTTTCTGACTAATAAATGCCCGAAATAAGTTAACTTATCTGAATTTAATGGATTGAAACTTGCATATATAAAATACAAACGAAAGTAAAAGAAACTGTTTATACTATTCTAGAGTATTCTTTCTTGAAAAAGATCCTGTCTGAAACCGAACATTATTTAAGTTATACAACATTAACATGTATTGTGCGCTCTCTTTTTATTATTCCACCATTAATAGACATTTAAAAATTAATGTTGAAAACATTAAACATTGATTGACTGTCATGTACATCTTTATCCGAAGGATGCCTTTCACAAGTGACAATTAATACTATTTCATTTAGAGCTGTCAGCCATTGTGAAGGTCTATAAGTTCCCCGATAGCAAGTTACATTTTAGGCCACCATTGCATTCAACTTATTGACACATAGAGTCTGCAACTAAATGGAAATTGCGACCTGTATGAATCTTGAAATGTGATGTAATTTTCTGATGTTTTAACAGATCTCTTGAAGGGGTGTCCAAGAACTAAGAAATAGGAATTCCTACTCGATTCCCCCATAGTTCCTTGATCCTCAACATTAAAATATTGCATTACCCACAATATTTTTCGCATTCACACCTACTCCACGAAAAATTGTGTAAAGATGAATGTGTGGATGTGAAAAATATTGTAGAAAATGCACTACTTTGAATGTTACGAACCATAGAACTGAGAGGGAATTGAGGGCCAATCTCTAATTCCCTGGGGAATTATCATCGCTCTGCTGATAATTCCTCGTCAGTTTAGGAATTCCTATTTCTCAGTTCTTGGACGCTGCTGACACACCCACACCTCACACCCATCCCACCCATATCCACCTTCTCAAATTCATAGAAGCACTCAGATATCAAACTCCGACGTATATACATGAAGTTATGTTGTCTTTAATTATGAAAGACTGTTTTGCGGTAAAAACGTTTTTGATTTTTTAGAAGAAAGTCAAAGATCAAGAGGTCTTTTAATTAATACACAACGACATTTTACCTAATCTGGTACTATTGTACAAGGATCTCTTCATTTGTTACACGCGCGAATGTGCACTGCGTTCATTGGATCCTATGACCATGGAAGCGTGTTCTTCGTGTACAGAACCTGACGAATGTTCCCAGAGTAAGCTACAGAGGAGTACTAAAATGGTCCCACGATATGTTTTTAACAAAGAAACCCAATCTTTAATAGACAGTTGTTTCCTATTAGTTGCTTTTCAAGATTTTACTCACTCAGATCAGACACTTCATTGTGAGGACGGGAGCAAAATATTGTTCGTACTGAATTTAAATATTATTATGGACTTAAATACTAAAAGAGTCAATAAACTCCAGAAACTATTTCAAAATATCGATTTTTTTAAGGGGGTCTTCTAATATGTCTTTTGCGTCCTTTATTCAAGGGAGTCTTCTAATATAGGTGGCTCTTCTAATGTGTTGAGGGTTTTACTGAAAACAACAAGAAATTGATTCAAAACTTCTTTCTGCTCCTTTATTTTTTCATCATCGATAGTTCGTCAAGAGGCAGACGATAATTAGGATCTTCACATTCTACACAATATAAATACTCAGAATCAAAAAGACAGGCAAATGCATTACTATGCAACTCTTATCTGGTAAGATCTTCACTCGCCGAAACTTGAGTTCGGCATGCGGTACATTTCCCGT